CGGATTCTTATATTATATCATTATCTCCTGCGGTGAATTGAATTCCACGTGTATAGGGTCCATGAAAAATCGATAATGATTATAAGGTTTTTGGAGGAAAAAAACACCATTTATCTTCGTTATACTATACACGGACACGGCTTTCTATTTGTCATATTATTGCAGTATATTGGCAATTATATTCTCGACCACACTTTATAATATCACGTTGAATACTCGAATTTATTTGTTCGTACTAGTATAATAATATGAATATCGTTTGTATAACATTTTGAGATGTTATGAAATGTTTGATTTTCAAAAAACGAACTGAAAATTACCAATAACCGAACCGAATATAGTTCGGTTCAAAAGTCAATGGATGTGCGGTCAGTAACTCACGCAGGATTTTTTTTCAGGAGAGGTTTCGTTAATAATAATTTCTTAGACGGGGGATAACACAAATTAAAAGTACAGTACTTTTACTACTGAATAAATGGTTTTTGATTAAATTAAATTTTATTTTATTCTGTGGTACAAGATATTATGTTGTTGACTGTAAAACTTGATTTAAAGAACGTATTTAAGGAAGAAATTTCCGGAAAGGTTTCGACCCCCTCACCCCCCTCCCCTATATGTACCCCTATATGTATGTTACATACTTTCGATTATAAATTAACTAATATTTTACTGGTACTTTAAATTTTGAACCTTTTGATTTTTTTAAATGTTCGAAGGTCGAACTTTGACCTTGAAAATCACGTTTCGTAATGTCACTAATACCATTTTATCTATCCCAGTTTTTAAACGCAGATTTGTCCAACGAATTTTCATGTGAACGTAACAACCTCCAAAGCCATGTAAACGAAATCGTCTCGAATAATAAATTCGTTTTTAAAACCCGACGGTTTGATTTTTTATCCCTTCATTATATTTACTCCCCATTTATTTATTAATTAACTCGTACTATTACAAATGTGTGCACTGTGCAGTGTCAGAGAGGGCGTCCTCTCAACGCGATGGCAGTCTTTCGATCGCGCCGTGTAACTATTATACCGTATGTTATACACCAGGGGTGTTTTTATGAGGGAGAGCTGAAGGGTATGAAGCCCCATCCGTAAATAGTCGTTTTAAATAAGAGCATAGCAAACAATTCGCTGCAGGGACTTTTTGCACACATAAGTGCATAGGTATACCACGACGACGTTATCCGGTTACTCGTCATTATAAAAATATTATGTTTGTGGTTCGATCCTTTGACCACGAGCCGACCGATTCCGCGCTAATATTACACAGATCTCCGATGCCCGCACGTTTTATAAGTATACGTGTGTTTTCCCGTTATTTTTCCAATTATTATGAAAACCGTTTGGAAAATCATAAAACAACCTCTCTAAGGTACCAACTATATAAAACGCTCCGAATATGAAAATCGCAATGCACAGACTACCTATTACTGTCTAGTATCCCTATGCCCATTCCAGTAATAATTAATGACAATTTTTGAATGCTAATTAGATAGTACCCGCGATAAAATAAATAGGTATGTCAGCAACTTAGTGATGTTCCGCCTCTCTTCACCTAGCCATAATCGTAGTTCTCGGTTTCTCATTGGTCACGTATTTATTGTATTATGATTTTTTCGTTTTTGCTGTGTCGTACACAGTACACTCGTACTTCGGGATTTCTATTTCCTATGATATTTCTTAGCATGTTATCAACAACCAATTGAATGACGAAACTACGAGTGCATATAAAGTGTATATAGTGGTAAGGATGCGCACTGTTGACAATTACGTGATTTTTTGCTGGCCTACCTATTTATTTGTCATGATTGTAAGTACATATATTAGATACGCGAAACAATGTTTATGCATTGTTTATCTCATCATTATTGCTTTTTATGTTAAATGCGACGACGTAACTGTTATCTCGATCGCAGACGATTCTTTAAACTTCGTTACCTCGATCTTTTATCCGGACACAAATTTGTCGGCAAATTCCGCTGCCGGACCTAATGATATTTTCCCCTGCTACACCGCTACGCCATATTGCTATCATACTATCGCTGTTACCATAGTATTATCGTACGCTACTATTATCGTCATTGTCGTCGTTGTGCGGCACGCGATTCTACTGTCGGTTATGAACCGCCCATTATTGATACCGTATACCCACCCGCTAATGCCCCGCTATCTTCTGCGGACAAACCTGCCGGGGGCCCCGATCGTTAAGTCCGATTGCGACGTCGATAAACGGCCGTGTGCGGTGTACAGCGTGATAATACGCGAAAGTAAGCACGCGATAATAACAATAATAAAATATTCGATAATTTCCGATAAACGTCTCCAGCCCCCCGCCGCCACTCCCATCGGGGTGTAAAACGCGCTTAATGGTACACGGACTGTATTATTGTGCATCGGGCGCGTTATATTGTCGGTATATGTATCATATTAATATGTCGGCCCGTCATCGTCGTCATTACAATACAATATTATTGTAACACACGACTGCTATTATAAAACGACGTTAAAAAAAAAAAATAAATAATCCGATTCATTGATGAATGCCACGACGAAACGCACAATAATAATGCGAGTATATTATACGAGACACTGGTATTAATGTATTATGGTAGGTTAGGCCGCCTATAATACAATATACGGTCCGGTTTTTTTTTTAAAATTTTTTTCACGCTGTTATTACTATTCGAATAGTGGGTACTAGGTAGGTAGGCGTATATTATTATAATATGACGTCGACTAAATACAACAATACGTGTCGTGGGTTCGGTTTTTTTCCATTCGAAATGGCTTATTTTTTTTCTTCGTTGTCGTCCCACAAGACAAATTGAAAAAAAAAATACCGTATATAAACCCCCATCGTATACTTCCGGTGTATCGTCGAGGGTATAGGCCGGATCCGAATCGAATCGGATCAATAATATTATTTGCCTTATAACACGAAGCGAAAAAGCGAATGTTATAACATTAATAACGAACACCTATAATGTTTCGGCCGTTTCACCGCATGCAGGTAGGTACATCATCATTATTGTAACACTGCGGACCCCAAAAGCTAAACATAATAAAATATTATCTGTTACGGTTGTGTCTCAATGGACGATGAACACGAAATATACGCACGGTCCGGACAATACAATATATATAAATATATGTTGCTATCACACTGTATAATATAATATAATATCGTCTAGTCCCGCGTCCGTATACAGACGAGAGTACACGTCTCCGAATACGCGCCAAAAACCGTCACGAACACGCGTTTAAATTACAAAATATAATAGATAAAAGAAGAAAAAAATACGGCAACGAGTATTCCAAAATTCGTGTTATTATATTATTATCACAGGTATGTGGTACGAGGGCGCATTATGATGGAAAATCCGGAAGTATTTATCGCCATGGGTCACTGTTATAGTTATCGTATGGAAGCGGCCGGTTTGTAAGGCGGCATGGGATCTAAGATGATTTGGTTTACATGGACAGTGTATACATACCAAAACCAACGATAGATCATTGTGATAAAATTCTGATCGGAGCTCGGTAAACCGACAAGGTCATAAGTATTGTAATCGGGATCCATCCCTTCGCTTGTAACCGAGTACCCAGGAAATCAACGGCAATAAAATCAATGTCTCGTCAGATTGTCGTTGGTTTTTTTATTGAAATTATCTAAAGATAATTAGAAATATTGTGAGAATATAATATCGTTACCAACCTTCTTAGTCTTACGGATATAGGCGTGAATAGGAAGGACTATGAGACTAATAATCCACCCCTTTCCCTCCGAACTGTTGAATAGACTCCCTCCAAAAAAAAAAAAAAAACTAAAGATTTATTCAATCGTATATGAATATGATAACTTATTAAGCATATAATGTACATGTATGGCCTATTTTTTTTTTCGCATTCATTTTTTAAAAAAAGGTAAAAATGTTTTACCTATCAATAAATGATAAAGCTTCTTACCAGTTGTACACAATATTAGTATACATACGTTATAGCGTCCATTTTTATCATTTTGTTTTATGGCTCTGCCCCGGAATTCGGCAAATGCTGTTCGATTTGTCAACATAACTTTTGTATTTAACGGGCAGGTAATAACCGAAGTAACATTGCGTACGATAAATTCATTAACAAACTCCGACAATCACTGTTCTTCACGTTAAATATGTTTTGCAATTTAATAGATTCGAAGCATTTTTACGCGTCGAAAAGGGGTTTACCGAGAAAAAACGAGCAGACACTCGCCAGTAAAACTTTTTGTAGCAAGGTACTGCGCTATAGTACCAAGTACATAAAAATCTACTGAGCGGAATAACAGAAGAATACTATGGGGGAGAATAGTCGAGGAAGGCCATCACTCGGATACATAAACCAAGTAGTTAGAGAGTAGCTAAGGCGTGTAACATATTATGAATTAAAACGTAAAGCGGAGAAGCGCGAAGAATGGAGAAATATGCTGCCAATCAGTCAGCGGGCTGCAGTTAACACAAAAAAAAAAAAAAACTGCGTTATACGTTCGTCATCTAAGACGACAATGCAGATTGTCATGTAGAATTAATTATAATCAATAATTCGGTACGAAATTCGAGTTTCCGTTTACTCTGCCGTCGTATACGGGCATTCCGACCGTTGATTTACAGTATAATAGACGAAATGCGAATTGTGTGTTTTTTCCGCGAAATATTCGTCTGGCGCCCCTCCCCTCCCTTCCACCCGACTACCCGGTAAGTACCCGCTGGTATAATATCGTATTTTATACGATACTCCGGCAATAACGACGACAATAGTGTAACTAAGTATGTATATATACTATACTGTATGTAACCGTAGCATATTGGGGATATAAATAAAGTATATCGGCATTTGAATCACGTCGTATGCGCGGCCGGAGAGCACGCACACGCGTATTATAATATACACACGACCGCGAACCCAATTACGGGGCGATGCCTTTTTAAGGGCACGCCGGACGAAAAATAAAAAAAAATAAAAAAAAAAACAATAATAATAATAATAATAATAATAAAAACAAAACGGACGGCGGCCGTCTTGCGCCGCCACTGCCGCCGCTGCCACTATAGTGCCTTAAGGGGGCGGCGAATATACGTCACGACGCAAACAGAGACGTCAATTTAATGAGACGAACGCGCCGCGTACCGTACAAGCGTACATACTGTATACAATAATAATAATAATAATACGCTCGCGCGCGCGTGTGTGTGTGTGCATGTGTGTGTGAGTGTGTGTGTGTGTGTACTGTATACGTATACGACAATAAAATAAATGAATACGTAACGAGACGGTCTGTGTGTATAATGTTATTCGTGAGCGAGATGATAAGAGCTGCGCGAGCGCGGCAAATGAGATCGCGATACTTATACTGCACGGGTATACGTAGACGTCTTATACTTACCGTGTAAGACGCGTGTATACAGAGCGTTTTTTTTTTTTTTTTTTTGATTTTCAACTTTTTAAGTTGTTGTGCGGAATTCATTTAAGCCCTTTATGATCTGGACCAAAGATTCAGTACTACACGCATGCGCGGCATTTTATATTTTTTGTTTCTGTACGAAACATTATTATTCGGTGGGTACGTTATGGTTTATTGATGGCCACTTATATATTTTATTTTTCCTATGGATCAATTCTAGGCTTACTCGCGAGTATAAAAAAAAATAAGCAAACGGACATAATTCGTACGATGGTCAGGCCACCATTTAATGTATATATGTACACGACGTTTCATCATTGCTAACGAAAAAAGTGATTCTGATCGGAATTCGGTTTTACACGTTTTGATTGGCCGTAATATTTACGATTTGAAAACAATACATTTCGTACAATTTCTCGTTTTTTCCCGGTTTTTCCATTTATTATGTAAACCCTTGGGAAAATCGAAAAACAACGTCTTTGGAGTACCGTCCCAGGAAAATCTCTTTTCGGGAAAGGTGTTACACGTGAAAATCGGAGTAAAATTTCTGGTAGAAAAGCTGTTAACGAAACAAAATAAACATCATTGTACAACCAAAATGTAAAATAATAATATTTTGTTTTCCCCGAAAAATTCTCGTGTACTCGAATACGCCCTGCTGTGGTGCAACACGCGTTATACACGATTTCGCACTTTGGAAAATAATTAGAACATCGATTATCCGCTTTCGAACACCCGCAACGCACTTTTCCTGTTAATACTGTTGGAAAATATACGTAAGCGTATACAATATGATATTTAGGTTGGCCACGCGTATAAGCTGTCTTTACCGACTTTATCCGAGTGAATCGATATTTCAACACATATTACGGATATCGGTATAATTGAGCTAAACGGACGTCCGTCGACATAGTATGTGGCGACCAGAAGCGTAATTAAGAATGTTCTAGGAGGTGGAGGGGAGATATCAAAATAATGTGTGGATAATCGGTGATAAATCACTGTGACATGTTTCGCCAAATTGGATGTATACTTAACTAAAAAACACCCTCCTCCCGAAACACCACGATTCATATTGAAATTATACATCCGACATTTATCGTTTCAATCTGCCCGAGAAACTATTCTATTCTATTTCCGAGATAGAGCTCGTTCGGTCCGGCTGAAGGACCTGCTAGAATAATGTCCGAAATTAACGGGTAAAACAGACCCAACACAGTGCACGGGACTGTAATAATAATATAAATAAATATAATAGTTTCTATTTTCGGGGGAAAAATAAAAAAAAAAAAATATAATTATCGTGTAAAAAAATATACGAATGTTACGAAAGCTAGTGGAAAATTGAGTTATTGTCGAAAACGTATGTTTCGCTCGCATGAAATCGCGAGTCCGCGGCTTGAAGAATTACGTTTTTTTTTTTCAAAAATCCGCGCGTCGCGAAAGGTCGAGAACCGCCGGACCTTTTCGTTAAAAACGCGTCCGTCGTAGTTTCCGAACCGTATATCGTGGTGGTCGCCGGGCCGCCGATACGATTTACGGTGGTGAAACGTCGGTTTACAACACCGTATTATAATATTACGATAAAATAACGTATACTGCGCCCCGGGCCGTACGCCGCACCGGTGCGGCGTAACCGACGACTGGATTGTGCGGAGCGAAAATATGCGTGCGCGTCGCGTGAAGTTATAGTGTAGCGGGCGCGTGACAAAGGGTGAAATGTGCGCGGGGCACTAGAATAACGCCACACGCCACCGCACCTGGTTGGTTCGGAATTAGCCTTTATTTTTTTTTTTTTTTCCTTCTCCGTCTACTACTTCTCGATGCCGAACACACTGTGCACACACGCACACACGCGCGTATATACGTACAATATAATACACTCCTCGGGTCTATAAAATATGTATTAAATTCGATTGTCCGCCCGCCGACGCGGCAGAAAAAAAAAAAAAAAAAAAAAACAAATCTCCGCGCTCTTCCGAACGCACACTCGCGCCCGGTGGTTTCTGCGGCGGCGGCGTCTCTCCTGTGGCGGCGGACACGACGGTCGGAGGCCCGGGGAATATTAGGGTTTTTAGAGCCGTACACCGACGTATTGTCATTTCAGTACAAACGAGTACGCAAGTCGGTATCGGTAAATAATAACGCGCGCGTTGATTCGACAAAGTAAACGGAATCGATAAATCTCGTTTTATGACTTGTCAGTTATACCGGGCAAAGTTCAAGCATACCGTATAAAATATACTCGTGAATTTGTAAATGTTGCATAATAATTACGTATAGTAACAGTATAATACAATAAATAGTAATGCCCATAATATTTGGTATATTACGAAGGGAATGGATGATATACTGCTGTTTGGATGTATACCGCCGTTTTAGTAGTGGATTCGGTTAAATCGAGCGATCGAATCTGTATCTGTACGCGATCAAAAAACGATCCCGAGCGTAGTATATTTTATTAACCGTATGCATTTCCCCTCGTTTCCCTCGGTGACCGCCAGGAATCAACGAAAAACTGCACAAAGAAAATCTAAAAATCACCCGCTCCGTCATGCGCCCATCAAAACGCTCAACGAAAAAAAATTCCTCTCACAAAGTTTTCTATTTGAACGGTATTTCTATTGGAAAAGTTGTTCGTACAGACACAAAAAAGAAAAAGAAAATCTCATCCCGTATTACGGTAAAACCAATGCAATCCTCGCTACGCGTAGAATCAGCAAACAAATTGCATTGTAATTAACACATTTTTTTTTCTACGTTTTGTCAAGGAGGAAATTTCCGGACTTGCCCGACCGTTAAATCCGCCGCCGAATCTCTCGCGGACGTCCGTCGTTGTTGGCACGGCCGTTTCTTGTTTTTCCGTCGGACTTCCGCGGCGAAAAGATCGCGCAGAACTATTACACCGCAAACATATTATTATTATTAGTTCGGCGCGTGAAACTTTCTACACCGGAATAATATTGTAATTCGACAGTCGACGTTCGTTGTCGAACAATTCAATATTGCGTACGGGTGTTATACACCGATACGTACCGAACTGTTACCGCAAAGTCGAATTATCTTAACGATATTGTGCCGCGCCTGCGGCGGTTATACGAGTTATTCGTCTATCGTTATAATATGTACGAACATACACCCCGACGAGTTTGACCGAAGTTTGCAATGTTCGCGGACTTTACTGAATTGCGCGTATTATAGTTCCGCCGTCACTGCAAGCCATTAACAAACCGAACGTAAACGATACGATATGGTTTGAGAACCGCACAGATATATTACCGGGGAAGAAACGTGGACCTAGGAACATTTAGTACGTAAAATCCACGAAAAAACGTTTAAAAACCCCACGTGAGCGCATTGGGATTTCGAAAAATGTTCCGAATAAAATGTATGCACACGCGTGGGTACCGGAATCGAGTACGAAAATAATATTTAAAAACGACGGACATAATTCGCACGTGGTTGGGCCGCTGTTGTAGGCGAGAAGTTGGAAAGGTAGAAGAGGGGAGATTTAACGTATATATCTGTACGTAACGATTAACCATTGATAGCGAAGAAAATACGATTCTGAGCGCGGTTCGGTTGATAGTGTTGCTTTGTCGACAATATATATATAGATACCATATTATGGTAAAATAATTACGAGTGCATTATATTACATTTACTTTAGTAATATTTGTTTAATATTGTACCTATGTTCCCGGTTTTTCTCATTAATTGGGAAAAATCAAAAAAATGACCGCCTTAAAGTGCTATTATTGTAAATCGGAACGAAATTGCTGGCATAAAAGTTGTTTACGGATAAAAAAAAAAAATACAATAAATATCATCGTTATAAAACCAATACATTCTTCGCTCCATTCAGAATCTAAAACTCGAATTTATCGAATGCCTACGTAATGAAAANATCATCGTTATAAAACCAATACATTCTTCGCTCCATTCAGAATATAAAACTCGAATTTATCGAATGCCTACGTAATGAAAAGCTCAAGAATCGACAGAATGTTTTGAACCCTCAAAACCGCGTCAAGAAAAGGCCGACGAAAATGAAAATTGCGGGTGTCTGTATGAACGACAACAGAAGACAAAAAAAAAAAAAAAAAAACGACTTAAAATAATAAAAGCCAATTAATGTCGGGGCCAAACTTTTTCGCCGACGAAACAATATTTCCCCATGCGTTTATTCTCGATCGGTGCCGAATTCCGTAGTGATAAAAGAACCGTTTACAGTAAAATCGAAAAAGTAAACGTCGTTCGTCTGTCCGGTACGAGTATTAATGATAATATTTAAAACCAAACACAAAAATACACTCAAAACTATATTACTCAAATATAATAATCGTTGCTCGCCTATTAGTTTATTACGTAACGACCGTTAATTATTGTATTATTACCTATATCATTATTGAATTGTCTGATTGCCCGCATATTACTTCGGTCTTTGCCCTGCAGTTAATTTTTCATTTTAATCTGTCCGCACAAACATTTTACGATATATGTATAATAATAATAATAACAATAATATTGTAGCACGTATACGATGATATTTTTATAGACCGGGCAAATATTAGTGACGTTTAGTAACATCGTGAGTAAATGGCCAATAACAATCGGATTATTATTACCTT